CATGAAGTGCACAAATTGACCGCTTGTGAGAAGATGAGGTTGAGTAAGGGATCAGTGTGCATTTGTGTGGAGTTGAGTGGCGGGCCACTCTGGGTTCATGCTGTGGAGGTTTGAGAAGTTGTTATCGTCTAGGTCTGGCGGCCAGGAATCGGCCAGGGGTTATCGGGCACCACAAGAACTTCCAGGGATGCCTTGTGTTATTACTGTAGGAAGCCCGGGCATTTTAAGAGGGAGTGTCCCTCGTTGCGAGATAGGAGGATGTCGCGGGACCCACCTCCTTATCCAAAGACAAAAAACGAGTAAGGCCAAGGAGGGTCCCATTCCCTCCTAATAATGGCTATCATAACTCTACTAGGGCGTCAAGGACACTTAGAGTTTCGGCTTGTTCTCTTTGATGGAGTCAGCACGGGTAATGCTTGATCTTGGGTCTGAATGTTCCCTGATTCATAGTTCATTGTTAGAGGGCTGTGGTCTAGTCTACAGGGCCTCTGAGTTGAAGATGCAATGGGGTGGGGGTTCACCTTTGCACCATAAAGGTGAAGTTACAATCAGTCTGGAGTTAGGTTCTACAACTGTTATACACAACTTTCTCGTTGTAGATTCTTGGGAGCGTCCAGGTCAGATGCTGATTGGCACAGATTTCACTAATGCTCACCATGTTGTCTATTCCTCACAGTCTCCATTTTTGATCATAAATGACCAGGAGGTGGAGGTTGTGCGCAGCCGTCTGTCGTCATCTTCCTTGTGTGCGGCGACTATTGGTTGTGGGGGACGCCCTGCGACCACTAGGGGCACCAAGACCCCGGGGACACCTGTATGGTCTGGTGTCAGCCGTACCAAGGATAATAGTGTGACAACAGAGGACAGATTGCAGTTCTGTGGCGTGGCCTTTCCTCAGGAGAGTCAGGTAATAGAAGTTCATGTGGGACATTGTTGGTTGCTGTCTCATCTAAGGGTAATGTACTTCCTGAGGGAGCTTGTACGATGTTTCATCCTCGGTCAGGTTCTGGGTTGGATTTGTCTGAGGGAGTGATTGCATTACGTGAGAAGGCAGATGGTACATGGTGGTTTTGTATTCCATAGGCAAACCGGGAAGATTGTCCAGTGGAGCTAGAGAAGAGGAACTCTCAGGGGGAGATTAGCATGTTAGTTAATATCTCCCTGGAAGAGGCTAGTCAGGTTGCAGGGGTTATTCGCTCTGTTCCAGTAAGTGGGAAGGGGTGGAAGACAAGCTTTTAGAGCAGGTTGACGCCATGTTCCCTAGGTGTTCTCGGGAACATGATGCTTTGTCGGGTCTTGTATATGAATTCAGTGATGCATTCTCTTTGGGGGAGGAGCCTTTGACAATATCTAATAGGTTTTACCATGAGATTAGATGCGAGGGACTCCCGGTTTACAAGAAGCCATACCCTATTGCTATCAAGCATAGGGAGGAAATTAAGAGGCAAGTGGAAGAAATGGTTGCTAGTGGAATAATTCAACCTTCCAGGTCACCCTATAATAATCCTTGTTCCTGTCAAAAAGAAGGATGGCAGTCTTCGGTTAAGTCTGGATTTCAGGATGCTTAATGAGAAGATCAGGGACGACAGATATCCTCTGCCTCATATTGATACCATTCTTCATAGATTAAGTAGGAGTAAGTTCTTTTCTTGCCTTGATCTCAGGTAGGGGTACCACCAGATTCCCTTGACTCAAAAGAGTCGAGAGATGACTGCGTTTTCTGCGCCTGATGGACATTATGAGTTCAGGACTTTGCCTTTTGGGTTAAAGGATGCCCCATCATCTTTTCAGCGCATCATTAATCAGGTGTTGACTGGTTTAATAGGAGAGGTAGGGTTTGTATACCTCGATGATATTGTGTTTTTTGGCGAATCTTGGGAGGAACACTGCGAAAACCTTAGAAGTGTCCTTCGAAGACTTTGGGATGCAAATTTATCTTTGAAGTTGTCAAAGTGTACTTTCTTTCAGAAAGAGGTTGACTGCTTAGGCCATGTCATATCGGCGGAGGGTATTAAGCCGGCGAAGGTGAAGGCGATGAGGGAATACCCTCGTCCTCTTATACTTCGGGATTTACAGGCTTTCCTGGGAGTTGCAAATTATTACAGGAAATTCATTAAGGGATACTCGAACATTACCAGGGCTTTGGTAGATTTAAGCAGAGAGGATAAGTCAGCAATTAATAAGAGAAAATTGCAATGGACTCCTCAGGCTGTTGATGCTTTTGAGAAGTTAAAGGGGGCACTGAGTGATGACATTGTGCTCAGATTTCCAGACTTCAGGAGAAAATTTGTGCTAGTGACTGATGCTAGCAAGTCTGCAATAGGGGGCGCCCTACAGCAGGAGAATGACGAGGGGGCATTGCAACCTTTATCATATTTCAGTCGTCAGCTGAAGGGAGCCGAACTAAATCACTCGACTGTAGAGAGAGAAGCTTTGGCTGTTGTGTTTGGCTTGAAGGTAAATCGGACTCTCATACAGGGATATCCAGTAGAGATTCATAGTGATCACAAGCCATTAGTCTATTTGTTTGAGAATAGGGATGGATCAGAGCGTCTGGCAAGGTGGAGGATGACTGTTGCCGACTTTGACATTCGGTTACAGTATCTCCCCGGCAAGGAAAATGTTCTGGCAGATGCATTATCCAGGATTCGAGAGGCGGACCACCCATTAGATGATTTATTGGTGGGGGCTGTTACTCGGGGCGGACATAAGACTAAAAGGGGACATGTTCAGTCGGGTACATCGGATGTGTCATCCCAAAAGGTCGACCCATTAGGAGTTTTAAAGGTATGGATAGTAGAGGAACTGAGAGTAGCTCAGGATTCTGATCCTCTCTGGGGAATGTTGAAGAGTCATTTAAGGGAAGGGACACAGATCTCTAGTAGGGATAGGAAGAAAATCCCTGGTGCATTGGATGACTATCAGGTTCGTCCTGATGGCCTGCTTTACAATGTGACTGTAAATCCATACAATATGAAGATTTGCAGGGTTGTAGTACCTCTACAGTTTCAGGATACAGCAGTGCAACTAGCACACAGTTTGCCTGTCTCTGGGCATGGAGGGGTATTAGCAACATTGGTCCGGCTTAAGAAATTTGCATTCTTTCCGGCGATGAGGAAAAGGGTGAAGTCCTTTTGCAAGCAGTGTGACATTTGCATTCGTTGCAAGCCAGGACAGGAGGTGCCAGTGCCACTCTTACATTTTCCTGATGTGACTCGTCCTTTCCAGAGAGTACACATGGATCTTGTGGGGCCCTTCCCGTCTTCACAGGGACATAAGTACATTATTACAGTGGTGGATGCTCTGACGAAGTCAGCCCCTCTGAAGTCAAAGGAGGCGTCAGAGGTAGCAAGGGCATTTGTTAGCACAGTTGTCACGAATGAGGCTCCTTCTCAGGTTATCTCTGATGGGGGAGGGTTCTTAAATGAACTATTTGAGACTGTTTGTAGACAACTGGGATTTGATAAACGGGTAATAACCCCATATCACCCTAGCTCTAATGGGCAGGTAGAAAGAGTGAATGGGGTGCTAACAGATTTTGAGAACAATGGTTGTTGATAATCCAGAAAATTGGAACTCAATGTTGCCAATAGCCACATTGGCAAACAATACTGCTTATCATCGTATAATCAAGGACTCTCCATTTTTTGCTTTAAAGCACAGGGATCCACAATGGCCTTATGTCATGGTTGCTGAGGAAGTTGCACCCTGGTATAATCTGGATGATTATGCCCAGGAACTTTAAAAGATGTCAGCATTATATCGAAGAGGAAATTCGAAGGAGGCCTGCAGACAGGCCTAGGGCAAGGCCTTCTCCTATTTCAGTGGGAGACAGGGTATATATAAAGGCTATAGTTAAGCCGGGATTGAGTAAGAAAGTGCAACCGCTATACACTGGCCCCAATCGAGTTGTCGAAAAGATCAGTGAGGTGGTGGTTAAAGTTTAAAGGTTAGCGGGTTAAAGGGTGTCAAAGGTTCATGTTGACAGGATAAAGAAAGAAGCATGACTTCGGCCGGGGCAGGCTTACAACATTGATAGGGCTTATCCTGTACATGAGGATA